TTTAATCATATATAAGTAATACTCTGCTTTTAATAAATCTGTATCACCTACATCATTTCAGAAATAATCTCTGTATAATTCTTATGTAATGCTAATGGTGAACTTACATGCTGCAAATGTGAAACTGAAATCTTTTATCCAATACAGTACAACGTCCGAAATCCCGACTCGTCAGGACTCCGACGATTCCGGAATTGAGATTTTTCCAAATATTAGATCATCAGTTTAAATCTAATAAGATGGCATGTAGAAATTATAAAATTAAAAATATGAAATTGTGATTTATGAAATAATGAAATATTTATGATCTAAACGGTATCAAAATTTACAAAAAAAGCTTAATATTTATTTGTTTACCTTATTAAACATTTACCTTATTAAACATTGTAAGTTGTTTAAGTTGCTTCGTTTTTTTTTTTTTTTTTTTTTTTTTTTTTTGTGCTAATACTTTCTCTTTAATTCTGTAGACAGACATAATCTCTTGTTCGTTTACATTGTTGAAGTCCTGTAACTGCTGTTTTGAGAATTCCGACTAATTTGCCAATCAAAATTTTCTCGTTTTCAGTAACTTCTCTGTCACTTTCTTCACTATCGGTAGCGGTATTTTCTGGATCTAGAACCATACTACAGATTTTGCTATTCATTAATTGATTTGATGATTCAGAAGCATTGTCATCACAATGAAAAACTTCTTTTATATCATCTTCATTTATTACCACTTCTCCACATTTCTTTCCAAAATCCGTTAATTGGAAAATTTCACCTTTGTTCTGCGATATCCAAAAACCTTTTAGATTAGTGGCTGTCATCATCAAATTTAGCTATCCTTCACTATACATGTTTAGCTATGCATCATGAGCTTGGCGACTAACGACAAATTGTTTTGTTAAATTTTATCTTGTTTCTATCACGCACTGAGACAATTAAGCCTGAATTGTATTAGTTTAGTTAGTTATTATACTTATGTCTATTTCTTGCACATGCTTAAGTCTATTTCTTGCACGCTTATCAGAGTTCTGAATAAATAAATCCCCACATATATTTAACCCGTTCAGTATGGGCATGTCATATTTGCATCAGCAGCAAACATTACCTCACGGCTGGGTGTGTCACATTTGAATCGCCATTTAATTCAGTCTATGGTCGGGCATACCACATTTGACTTTTGATAGAACGTGTAATTAGTATTTTTTGTTGCCACTAGATGTAGCTGTATGTCTGTTATGGGGAAATATATCGAAAGTTAAGTTATGTGTACCTTCATTCCTATGCAATGTTTTTCATTTTTGGTATTTTATTTCAGCATGAGAGGGAGATTCGTGGGTGGGTGTTGAGCAATGTAATGTCTCTTTAACTGCATCATTTGATATAAACAAATGCACATGTTCTCGATATTTTGAGGTACTTTTTATTTTTATTTTTGCGATAGAGGTATTTGAACATAGAAGAATATACATAAATGCTAATTCGTTAGTGTTGAGTAACGTGATGGCTCTTACTTTGTCATTTCATATAAACAAATGAACATGTTCTCGATGCTCTGGAATACTTTTTAATTTAATAAATTTTATTTATTTTTATTTTTTTATCCCCGTATAGTGGAGTAGATGTTCTATCATTAGAGACTTTTTTATTACTCTTAGATTTTTCCGGCATTGAGACGAATATTTTGTATGGCTTAGTGTAAGTTTTTTTTTTTTTTTTTTTTTAATGGCAAAACGAAAGCACTATCTGACCATAGAAGATACACAAATGCTAAATGAGTCAAATTTGCTGATATTCTATTCCTGTGACATTCGCAACGTTGGACTTTGCGTACACCTATGTTTCAAAGAATATCATACACTGTCTCTTTTTTTGAAATACTGCTTCCTTTTCATTGTTTGCACATTGAATTTTTATGAAAGACAGTTTTAATATTTTTTAATTTTAATTATGTGTTGTGTTAAATAAAATTTGCGATTGTTTGGATATTTTTCCATATATATTTAATTGTGGGATAGAGGAAAAATTATATTATTCTAGAATGAGTATTATATAAAATTTTTAAGGAAAATATAACAATAAAGGTTTTTAATTAATTCTGACAACTACCTGAATGTTCTTCTCATAATGTACCAAAAATTGGAACAATTGGATGACAAATTTAATTTATACGAATTTTTTTCCAATGTTAGGCTTAGCAGCACGAATTGCCCGTTCCCACAAGACAACATATCCAGTTAATGCGCCATCCCAAGAGAACGCTTCGGTAACAAAGGTGCCAATCACGAACGGGTTAAGCCCTATTGAGGGCTGGTACTAGATATCTTACCACCTGATGCAGTCTCTGTGGGTCCTAAATTCTATGGCTCGGTGTGGCCATACTACCCCTGGTGCTGGTTCTGGGTTTATGTGAATAACATATCAGTTATTCTTAATTCAAATAGCCCTAAATGTAGTCTTTGGGTGTATGAGTATCATGAGCAAAATCTATTTTTAGCATATGGAAAGAAATTTTTCCTAGTCAACATTTTTTAGCGCATTTAACTTAAATCTATAATCATTGCCGAGTGTAATGTCAACATAAAAGGTTACCATACTCTTTTATTATTCAATTACTAACATAAAAAAAATTAGGCATCGCTATATGAACCATTACTCAAGTTGTCATATTTTGATAAACATGTGGTGATGAAAGGAAAGTATAATAAATAATGATTCACCAGGTTGGCATCAGATCAACAATGTATCTGCATGGAATGTTTCGTTTTGAGATGTGTGCCAAGCAGCTACGCAGCAACAGAGCCAAATTACTGAACGTATAAATTTATGCTAAAATGATTGTTTCTTCAATAACAAGGTATTTTATTTAGTGTCAATTGATATTAAGAATCATGACTCTCCAGATGTTTTATTATGCACAGAGGAGGGAGGGAATTAAATGTGCATGCGTAAAACTTACAAGAAACACATTGTTGGTGGTTTTGAGGTCCGGATTTTAGAGCATTCCAGATATTGAACATCCAGATTTTGGACTTTATACTGTAGTAATAAAAAATTTGAGTACCAAAACCAAACAATAGAAACAAAATGGAATCATAAATTCACTGTTCATAATCTAATATTGGTATCCATAATCATTGCACTCTTCTCATGCTTCTGTGTGCTGCCTCTTTTCTGTTACCAGTTAGAATTATGTGTAAAAATAATGCTAATTGTTATGAAATAAAGCTGCATCTTGCACCTATTTAAGGAATGTTATGCCAAGTATAAAGAATTTTTCAACCACCCATGACTCTCCTTTCACATCATCACCTCCAGCAAACTCAAAACTTCCATTATATTGTAAGAATTGGAGGCTGCCTTCAGCCCACCTAGAGACGAGTGTCCCCATAGCTCAAAAGCAGATGCCCCATATCTCCACAAATAAGGGCATCCAGTAACCCAGCCACCCCCAAACAACAAACAAAAATACCAAATTAAAAATATGTAAGAACATCTAACACAAAATTACAGACCAACAAACAAACAAACAAACAAATTATAAACACAAATTCACAGCATAGAACACCACAGATATCTAAACCGATGTAAATACGGAATTCAATTTTAACAGGAGATTCCTACAAGTGCCCTATTATGCCAAGTATAAAGATTTTTTCAACCACTCTCCTTTCACATCATCACCCCCAACAAACTCCAAACTTCCATTATATTGTAAGAATTAGAGGCTCCCTTCAGCCCACCTGGACACGAGTGTCCCCATAGCCCATAGCTCAAGAGAAGAGGCCCCGTATCTCCACAAACGGGGCATCCAGTAACTCAGCCACCCCTAAACAACAAACAAAAATACTAAATTAAAAATAAGTAAGCACATCTGACACAAAATTACAGACCAACAAACAAACAAACAAAAAACTATAAACACAAATTCACAGCATAGAACACCACAGATATCTAAAACCTTTATAAATACGGAATTCAATTTTAACAGAAGATTCCTACAAGTGCCCTATTTTCATTGATAAACTTCATTAGAGCTATAGAATATGATTTAAAAACTTTAACTTCCAATACAGTACAAAGTTTGAGATGCGGACTTGTCGGGACTCCGGGGATTCTGGAATGGGGATTTTCCAGATATTAGATCATCAGTTTAAATCTAGTAAGATGGCATGTAGAAATTATAAAATTAAAAATATGAAATCGTGATTTATGAAGTAATGAACAATTATGATCTAAAGGCAATACAAATTTACAAAAAAAAAAAAAAAAAAAAATCCCTATTTTCATTGATAAACTTCTTTAGAATATGATTTAAAAACTTTTAACTTCCAGTATATATTAAAATACAGAATTTCCGAGCTTTTAGAAGTGGAACATAAAAAGATTACCAAAAAAATTTATAATAATTTTAATATTTGTTCATACTGTATTTTCATAGGCAATGAATGCAAGATCTCTCCCATGTTTATACTTAATTAATTGTTTGTTTAAATTATGACAAAACATCAAATTAACAAAAATATGAAAATATTTTCTGTAATTATTAAAATTTTTGAACAAGGTGTTTAGAAAAATTATTAAATTCCTATCAGTAATAGGCATTAATTGATATTACATAACATGCTGCAAAGCAAATTTGATGCTGTAATGTTAAATTGGACTTAATTATGCTATGTAAAGGTTTAATATGTGCTTGGCAGAAGGGGCTAGTACATTTCTCTAATGTGTTCGTAGTTTTGAATGAAGCCTATTTTTAATTAAACTTTAAATTTAGGCAAAATTTTCTGTTTTACCTGTTTTTTAGTGTATTTTGGGTATTTATTATGCTAATTATTGCCAACATGGTAATGGGAAGGAAAGCAGTTTTTCTGTTTTGTTCTTGCAGTGAAATGTTTCATGATTTTTTAAATAGAAATTTTTAATCCTGCTTTCTACATTTTATTTATATTGTAGTTATGTTATAAGAGTAACACAACACAAAATATATTCTTTTGTAAACTTTCTACCTTTAGGTTCAAGTTTTTACTCAAATTGAATATGATCTGAATGTTGATACTGAGGAATTCAGGTAACTTATTTAAAATATATTAAGCCATTCATTTATGAAAATTATTAAGATAGAAGTGTTATTTAGCACAGAAGAATAGCATTAAAACATTAGTAATCATTAGTAAATGCTTCTTTATGCTGCTTCATATTTTATATAACAGAAGAAATTTAATATTTTGTATACTTAAAGATTTAACCATATTCCATTAATATTTATGCGGAATTTGCTTCAGTTATGTAGGATATTTAAATTTAGCATCGTATTATCCTTTTTTATCTGAAACAGTAAGTTATTTACATAAATAGTTTAGAATATAAATAACTTGCTTTTGTATCAGTTAAATTAAGAACATGCAGGAACACATAGAGTATGATAGTCTTTCTCATAAATGTACTCTTCAGTATTTTACTATCTCCTGATAAACATACTGTCTACTTCCTAATATCTATATTTGCAATACTGTACTATCTACGTTATACTAAAAGCCTAATCTAGTTTACAGTTACATTTGTTTTATTATAGCATGGGTGCAACAAATGAAATCATTAAGTAGCAGCTAATTTGTAAATTGCTTTTTGGTTCCCTGAAAATCAGAAAAAATTAAATTACATAATACATCTTGCGTTTCTTCCTTAAAGTTTGTTATACTAACTTATTATTATTATACTTTTAAATTCAACTGTATAATAATTTATTTCAAATTGTTCATATTTACTTTTTAACTATTTTTGCTTAGCATCTTTTCTGTGAAATTTTTAGCCCTTTAAGAATGTTTAGCAAAAATGAAAAATATATAAAACTTGTTTGATTGTCTGCAAAAAAAAAAGAACATTGAAATGCTTGACGTATCAACTTCCATATTTGTATTTTGAATTTTCATCTGTCAGAAGTATATGAACTTTTCTGCTGAATTGTATGATATTTAGAAAAATCAGTTCCTTATTTATTTTCAAATTGTTATGATAGTGAAGTGTGCATAATTCTGTTATTTTCAATATTTTCTCTCATCTACGACAATTTTTTCTAACATATAATTTCTTTTCCTTGGTGTTTTCCTGCTCCAAAAGTTGTGATGGTGTCGGTCTCAGAAAAACTCACAGGTACTATTAATAAGCATGTTCTTTCTATGCCTGAAAATCTTGACTCGAAAATTTCCTAAAGCTGATACATTTGCGTAATATTTTGCTTTAAAAAGTGTTCTTTCAAATTCTTCTCTTCTCATCTATTATATTTGCATGCTTCAAATAATTACTTAACATTTTTATTTATTAATATAAAATTAATAAATATATATATAAGCTAATTTATTCTGAAACTACGTGAATTATTTGCTACTCCTCTTCCTCTAGAAAAGATAAAATCTGCAGTTAATACTAAGAAAAGAACTACAGAAAGTTATTGCTTGCTATTTTATTAATCAAATTTGCTTAAGTTTATTAACATTTAACAGTTTAGCCAGTGGCATTCTCTAAACTTTTCAAAACACAGATATTCTCCATTACCTTCATAAAAGGGCTTCAGAAGCTCTTCCAAAATGAAATTACAGATATATAAATATATTTCTTTTTAATTAGAATATGTGACTCATTTTTTATATTATTGTATAACAACAGAAGTGTTTGAATATTAAAAAAAATTATGTCTGTATGATCTTAAATGAAGAAATATTGCATTGTAAAAATAAATTTAAATAATGGAAGGTTTATGTAAAAAGCTGTGTTAGTAACAGTGCATATTTAAGTAAGAAAATATGTTCCCAGATATTTCCACAACAAACTTCTCCACTTTCTTTTCTTATATCCTGCACTTGATTGTAATATGCTTTTGAGTTGATTTCAATCCAAAATTTGCTTCATGATGCAATCTGAAATGCAGACCATTATTACCAAAATATGTGCTAAACCAGCCCTTTTTGTAGCATTTCAGAGCTACCATGTATTTCTGCTCATAGGAGTAAAAATTTTTTAACTTACAATAAATTCATTTATATGAGCAGTTCAATATTTGTGCTATTTCCTGACTTTTTGGGGCCAGTACCATGTTCTAATGCTTTCTAAAATATTTAAGTGTATGTATAATGTGTATGCACAGTATATGTAATTTCTTTGTTTATACACTTTGTTGTCTGAGTCCTTGAAGGCATATTTCATTATTGGTGCCCATTGTAGATCTTGAACTTCTCAGTAAGTGTAGTCCATTCTTGTCCTATTCACTGTATTATTTTCCCGTCTCTTAATGATTAGAGTTTTAGTCTTTTTGACACAAGCAATTCATTTTAGTTTGGGTCTTATTCTTGGTCAATTCCATAATAGATGGATCTGAATTTTTTTTTTAGTGCCTCTTTCTCCAGTAATTTAAACTGTATGACCAATGTTTCAGTACTACAGTGTTTGCTCTTTCTTGTCCAGAAATCTTTGAGTGTGTAACATCACTAACTTAAAGACTATTCTAATGCATTTACTCCCTATTCCCTTTGTGTTTTTGTTTCTCCTTCTAAAAGTCAAATAATGTCATTGACTTGGGCAGAGCATAACATTGTTCACCTGCTGACCTTGTGTATGATGAGCCTGGTTCATTCTATGTGTTTTAATGCATTTCACAAAATCTAGTTCTTTATATAGTAGATGTTATTCATAAATAAACTTTCTTTCTTGTATTCCATTTATATGGATGTCACAAATTTTGTAAATATTGCTTTTAAATGTTCTGAAATTGTTTCAGTTTCTGAAAATCTCTGCTCAAATTTCTGAGATATAAGAAAATTGAGATTGATGATTTTGCATACTTATAGTTGAATTGTTCTTTTAATTAAACCTGATTTCAAAAATTCATGTTATAAAAGAGGAAGACAAACTGAACCTAAATAAGTAAACTATTCAAATTTTTGTATGATACTCGGTTACTTGTTGTTTATACTGGAATACTGCTATTTTAAAACATATTTTGTTAAATCTCAGTTGAGTCTTTTGATAGGAACTGCAAGAATGAAAGTTTGTGAAGTGGTCTTCACAAACTTTCATTCTTGCAGACTAGATGATGAAATGAAAGACTAGACTAGATGATGAAATGAAAAAGTGACACACTTTATTCTCTGGGAAGCCTGCAAGAGCTAGAAATAATGAAGAGGTGCTGAAGCATGGGAGGAATGGCTTGGAAAGGGAGTGTAGTCCTCTTGTGCTCATGTTATTTTCGTAGGACTGGGCTTTCTGACTGTAATCCAGTACAGTCAAAAGTCGTTAATTCGGACACCCATAATCCGGACCTCAAAGCTACAAGCTTTCTGCGCATGCGTCACGTTCACGCATGCGGACAGGCGTTTACGAGTGCGCGTAAGACCTTTACTGCTGCGAATATGTTTGTGCGTGTGCGCGTTTAATGTGTAATGGACGGTATAAGCTAAGCTAAAATTATCTAATTCAGTTAATGTTGCAGATTGCGTTGTTCCTTAATCTTCGAATTGGATCCGGCTTATTATTTTTTGCAGACTGTTAGAGCAATTTCATAAAAGTAAGCTTGAACTTTCGATTATGTCAAATAGAATTTCCAATATATATTTACTAATATGTAATTTGTATCTACAAAGCGAAAGTATGTTTCAAAATCCGAAATCTGTTTATCAATTTCATGCCGCGGATTGGAAGTTGATCTGTCAGCACTATCCTTATCTTCAGGGCAGATGTTTTTATTTTATTTGGCTTATAATTCCTTACTAAGTGTATAGTATTCATCTCGATGTACTCCGTCTTTGATATGATTTAAATCAAGTTCCTCGTCATTATAATTCGCTTCTGATAGTGAAGAAAGTGACCCAGAGGTTATTGAAAATGAAAACATTTCGATTGACAAATTAGTCGGTATTCTCAACACAGCAATTATAGGACTTGAACAGCGGAACTTTGTAACTAAACAAGAAATTATGTCTGTTTAATAGAATTAAAGAGAAAGTATTATCACATGAAACGAAGTACTTAACATTGAAAGAAATGTTTAATAAAGTAAACAAATAAATATTAAGCTTTTTCTTTTTGTAAATTTTAATACCCTTTACATCATAATTGTTCTTTATTTCATAAATTATGGTTTCATATTTTTAATTTTGTAATTTCTGCATGCCATCTTACCAGATTTAAACTGGTGATCTATAATCCGGAAAAATCGATAATCCGGAATCGCCGAAGTCCTAACGAATCCGGATTAACGACTTTTGACTGTAGCAGTTTACAGTGAATGTTGGGAGATGCGATCAAGGATTTTTTTCATATAATTCCAGAAGGTGCCATCTTCTAAATTTAAATTATCGGTCTTTTCACCCAAATATTCTGATCTAAAATATTCAGTAAGGTATTTTATTCTTCTGTTGAAGCAATTAACTTATATTTTAAGAGTAGGGCTCCAAGAACAGATGAAAGCTTTCCATTATTTGATACATTTCTTGATTTTATTTCTGACTAACTGGGGAGTTGCCAGTGAGTGAATTTCTTAACAGGCTCATTAATTTGAACTCAAAGGTTCTCTGAAACGATTTCGAATTATCCAATGTTAAGCGAAAATATAATTTTGAAAATGTATTGCTGAAGAAGATAAATGCCCTTTGGATTTATTAAAAGGCTGAATACATCAGCTCCCTGAAAAGCAGTGACAGGTGAAAACCGGTACCGGTTTCTTTTAAACATCAAAGGACTTAGTATAGCATAGAAGAGTCTGCCCTATCCTTCTAAAAAAAGGGATTGCAGTTTGAAAGCGTTTTTGTTAAATATATTGGGGGAAATGAAAGGAATTATCCAATGGATAATTCCTTTCATTTCCCACGTAACTCCCACATAACCAAGCCATTAAAACTGTCCCGCACGACCAGTAATTGGACAGACTGGATCCAAAACTGATAAGTGAAGGGCCGGCACTTGTGAATCGCAAAGGCGTTATCTTTCATATCATGTTAAAACGGCAGATCTCATGCTACTACACTAAAAAAAATTAATAAACGAGAAATTAATCTATTGCAAAGCAGATCGTGAGGATGTTCTAAATCATGGTAATTACATTAATATGTAGGTGTTGTATTTTTCTTCTCACCTAAGAAAATGAGGTGAAATTCCACGCACACAAAACCTCCTTATGAATAACCCGTCCAAAACATTTTGTAATGAAGAAGTCAACGATTCGGAACTCTGTAACATTAAATTGCCAAAGCTCTGAAATCCCGTCAAAGCACTTTAAATATTTTTTAATCAAAAGAGAAGCTTCAGTAGAATGTCATATTATGCTGCAGCCATCGCAAAACCTAGACATAAAACTCATTGAAAAGTGAGGGATCTTTTACATCAGAAGCTTGAAAAAAATTGATGCATTGAGTGCAATAGATCTGGAAAAATATTGCAACAGGAATTTTAGTAAAATTACGTCCTTAGTGATATGGACACTGAATTATGTGATTAAAGTGTAATCTGCAAAATATTGACTTCTCTGCTGTTTTTCTATCATAGTTCAAGAGAAATATTGCTGTCGTTATTTAAATAAAATGAAAAACTATATTCTTATCTATGATTTTATTCAGACTAATTATTTTATTCAGAACCCGAAGAAATGAAAAAAGATTTAGTTTTAATATTTCTGCACAGTTTAAGCGAGTGTTTATACATGTATGTGCTAGCTATGTGTATTTACTCATAGACAAACAAACACGCACATCCTTATGCTATTTTAAGAAAATTACGCAACTAAACGTATCTTTAACAATTGGTCGGACAATCGTGATCTCAGTTTAAGAAATGAAGCAAGTGAAGTAGGCTTTCATATCGACAGTTTTTTGCTGCGAAACCTTTTAGCTGAGTTAAATGGAACTTTAAAAATTTTAACTCAGGAAAATGTTAGTAAGAAAAGTGTTTTCCATGTTGTTATAAATCAAGTTAAAGAATATTTACCTTCTTGCGGTCAAAATTATCCAAGATATCATAAGTTAAAATTTTAAGGACCGTACAAAAGTATTTCAAAAAACCAACTACGCATTTTAAATTTTCCAATTGCGACTGCTCAAAGATAACTTCAGTATCAAGGTACATATGAGAGTTTAGAATTGTGATTCAACTTAGAAACATAGATTTCAATTTCTGGTTTATAGAAGCGCTAAAATTCGTTCCCTTCCAGCGATATTTATTTTTTACTCTGCCACTGAAATTGGTGTTTAAGCAGCTTTTCGAGTGAAAGCAAGGTCGAATATAAATGACACATTGTGGCAGGTTCATTGTAATATGTTAGAGAAACTGCAATTTTCTTTCGGTAATTTTTACAAGATCGGTAATTGTATAAAGTACAATTTATTATTAACAACTTTCTTTATAAAGGCCCTTGTAAGAGTTTGAATTTCGGATATGCTTACTAAAAGGTAAATTAATGACCAAAATTAACTGTACTTTCAAACCCTGTGTTGTTCGGTTCATATCATAATTGTTTGCGGGTATTTGCGATCAATTGTTCAGTAGATATTTAGGTGTGCAATCTTTTTAAAGCCCTTTGTTTAATAAAGCGGAGATAGAAAATCTTGACTATTGGCTTTTTCTTTAATAACTATAGAATAAATACGATATTGTTTTAGGGGTGAACTTAATTGACAAACTCATTTCATATTCAATTTTAGCGTTTGTTTTTGCATAACAAATGTCTCATCTATTCACTTTATCTCATGTCTTTTTAATAATTTTCTAGCTCTCATTTGAGACGGATGTCAACTCTTGATTCATCATGGGTTATGAATAGTAGTAATTTAAATGCCCATAATCATCCAGCATGGCTTCATTTGTATTTATCTGTTTGCAAGCTTTTAGATATGACAGTTGCTTTGCCGGCAAACATACTACCCCAATTTCAAATGTAAGCACTTTTTTTATTTATATAATTTTAATTTCTATTATAAACGGTTTTTGAGGTCATTTGCTAATATTGTAAGCTAAATTGTTTATAAGTAATGTAGATTATAACTTTATTTTTTATCAATGAAGAAATGGCTTTTAACATTTCAGTTTCTTTTTTTTTTCGGGGGGGGGAGGGTAAATGTTTTCATCGCATGTAATAGTTATTGACAATGGTGCACTATTTTTACCTATTTTATAAATCATACTCTGTGCTTATTGTATTGTGCTATGTATGAAAAGTAATACGTTTGTTAGTTAATTTTAATATTGTTTTTATTGCTGTATTTATATTTTATTTCAAAAGGAAATTACTAATAAATGAAACAAATATAATTTTAATAGACCTTCAAAAAGGTGTTTTAATTTCTCTTATTTAATAATTCACAATATTTAGCTTAACTGCAACTGATTTTTAGTTCTACTTCATAAGAATTTTAATGTTTCTAGGTATAGGTGGGCGTTCATTGGAGATAGCCCACCTCTATCATCTGAGTGCAATAATCGTAATGAAGGAAAATCATCTGATTCACCAGAATTTGTGCCTCATATAATTAGACTAGCTAATTTATTGAATAAAAAGGTAATTTTCATTTTCTTCATATATATGATTTGTTAATTCCCCATTTATAGTAATAATTTGTTAATTTTCTGTTTATGCAATATTATCGAAACAAGAGTTGATGGTGAAAATGAAAGACATCTGTCTCGAAAATAGCTGTTGGCAAAACTTTGAACTGAATTTAAAATTGCTGCCATAATTCAGTGAAGAAGTCTTTCCTTCTCGCAATCTTAAAAATTTCGATGAGCGTAGTCATAATTGAAGTAAATGATGATAGAATCTCTGCTTAGAATTACCAACTAATTATCACAAAAGTGCCATGTGTGGAAAAAGTGTGACTACAGCATGTTACTGCACAGAAAAACGAGGTGAAGGAGTGAGGGAAGAATTCATTTTTAACATTAGTACATGACTGTATACGAGAAGATTTTAACAGATCTACTGATCAACTACAAGTGTGAAGTCTTATCACATACACTGCAAAGTTTGAATCCACCAGACTTCAAATTCTTCCCCAAATCAAACCCCTCCCTCTGCACAGACATCCATTTTCTTTCCCTGGAAGAAATTTCTTCAGTAGCTACCAAGCCATCTGAGAATTGAATAAGAGTAGTAAACCATAAGTAACAGCAAATCTTCTGAGACATTAGATCGCAGCTATTGGAAAGCAAGGGAAACTACATAGAACAACTGTTAGGAAAATTTCTTGTAATAAAATAAATCTGAGGGGGGAAAATATAGTTTCTTATTTTAAAATTATTTTCGTATTTATCTTTTATGTTTGGCCATTTTGTTTGCTGTAGATACAATATTCCCATGGGAATAATTCACAAAAACGAAATTCTCTGTTATTTTGTTTGTTTTCCGAAGATTAGCAACGATCAGTTTAAAATCATTTAAATTATTATATATATTTTATAATTTAAGAAATTAAATTACTGATAGATAAAGAAGCTTGTCTGGGTAAAAATTCTGTTTGAAAATATATTTTATATTATTTAAAATATAGCTTAAAAAATAAAATTGTTTTCTGCAAGAGATTCGGATATAAGTGGTCAAAAGGTCGTATGCCGCTCGTGAGCAGTAGTTAAGAGACCAAAGAGTAGCGGGTAGTTGGGCCATGTCTGTTTTATGGTTTCATGCACTGGTGGTGATGAATAGTTTACATCCATTCGTATAATTAAATCTGAGTTTAAAGATGAAAACAAGCAGGCATTTTCTGTATTTATGGAATTTTCTCAGTAATTAAGTGGATACAAAGCATTCTGCACAAGTATGTGATGAATCGCCAAATGAAATAACTACTAATGTTTGATAAATATGAATGAAACAAGTGCATATCTGATGCTGTTTATTAGTTATGAAGAAAACTGGTATGCCTGCTTACTTCTCTGCCAGTTATCAGAGGAAAAGTAGGGCCTTTTCTTATAGTGGTGACATTCAAATGCTTGAAATATATTTTAATAAGTAGGTTTTGAAGTACTTTTCCAGCAAGCTAAATATTTTACATTAAAGTATTTTGGGATAACTTACAATGCAACTGTGATTATGAAGTTGCCTGTGATTTGATTTTAATATGCAGATTCTTCTTCAAAGCATCATACTGTAAAAATTGCATGGTTCAGTAATATATGTTATAGTAGATTTTGTTAGATTTCCTGCTTAATTATGTTACCAAATTCGGGAATTGAGAAACTATTGCTTTTTCAAATGTCTAGACTGAATAAATTCCTCTTTAAGTCACTGCTGTCTCTGAGTTCTTGTTTCTTGGTGTTCTATATATGTAACTTCTTGGATGTTTTCTATTGTAATATGTATTTATTACAGTAGAAAGTTATAGTGCCTGTTCTTACCTTTAAACATATATTTCAAAACAAAACATCACTTTTCATTTTAATATTCTGCTTATTTCTATGTATGTTTATGTGCATCTATATGATACTTTTAACAATAAATTATCGATCAGCATTTTCACTTGGGTGCAAAATTAAGAGAATTTGCAAGTTTTGTTGAATTTCTGTAAAACTAACAAAACTCTTATTAAAATATGTTATTAAAATAAACATATTTTAATAAAATTTAGTAAGAATTTATATTTGCGACAGAGAAAGATGCTTGCCGTTCAAAAACCTTTTTATGTGTGCATGATCATCTGTAAAGCTCATAGTGCAGGGATTGTGCTCAAAGATGCCTTCATAGTGCAAGGATATCCCAAATCCATGTTGTCATATCGAATTGAAAATGAATCTAATACGGAGCATTGTCGCCTCTCACAGCCAGACAGGTTGTGTCTCACAGCCAGCCAGGTCATGTAGCATGATGGCATGCAGGACAGGAGGCAGTTGACGAGTCCTTGTGGCAGCCGAATCCACTCCTGTAGCAAAGCAGTTTTCAACACTGGGATGGTTCTCGGAGGGGATGACGAGATCCAATTGTATTTCCAAAAGCATCCCACACATGCTGCATAGGGTTAAGGTCAAATGATCTGCCTGGCCAATCCATGTGACAAATATCCTTGTAGAGACATTAGGATTTTTTTTAGTAGGCAAGATGAAAAATTAGCTGAAACTTGGCTGAAACTCAACTCATCTATAAAAAGCAGTGCTCTTCTGAAGCCTAGGCCTAGGTGCATGTTGTCTGCACCATGTTAACACACTCACTTGTGTGCTGCAGTGAGTGGAACGCAGTCAGCGAGACTTCTGGCATACAGCCCTTTTCTCATGAAGTCTTCGGGCAACTGCAGACTGTGGAATTTGGGTTCCAGTTGCTACATATAGCTCACGTGAGAACTGTGAAGCTATAGCAGTCCTGTGTCACCGTGCTGAAAGTGCCAAATAATGATCCTCGTTCGTCGTCGTACATCCTGGTCAGCCTTGTCCACATCTTTTCTTTGAAACTGTTTCTATAAATTGCAAGTGACATTGGCCATTACATTGAGCTCAGTAGCCACATGTGTTTGTGATTGGCCTGCCTCCAATCTACTGATAATTCTCCATCTCATTTCATCATCCATACGTTCCTGGCTACTCATTTTACATGATTGATACTTTATAAAATTTACATAACTTTTGCGAGGAACTTGGCAAATGTCGTGATGAAATGCGAGCAGACAAATCACTGAAATCCACTCGTGCATAATTCCCTCCACAATTACAGCTCCAGTGACACGTACTTGTGACATACATATTCGACTCTGAATTTTTGCATAATTCTTCAGCGGCTTAATTAGAATAATTATTTTTTTTAATTTGTAAATTTGTGTATTTGATTTTAATATATTTTGTAAAAATAGACACAATTTGCAAATTCTTTTAATTTTGCATATGAGCATTTTTTGACTAAATTTACACTTCCTGTAAAATTTATGCTTCCATCTGTTCATATTTAAGATAATTTGTTTACTTTCTACCAAATCTCGATTCAGCAGTTTTTACTATTATAGTATTTTTTAATAAATTGAAAAGCATTTATATTAAGATATTTATAATATATTCACACATATTTAAACTTCACAATAGGCTAAAAGTTAAAATAATAATGCGCAATAAACAGACATGGTTTATTGCATCTGGCTGTTGAGATAAAGTGCTGTGATTTTCTATTTATGAAATTTTTATTTTCCTGGTAAATATTTTATGTTCGAAAATCAGAAACTGAGGGTGGAAGGGACTATTATATAAAAAATTCATGCCCTTCCAGATGTGTAACGTGCAGAGTGACCAGGCACATGTTGCCAAATTACGTCAAAAAAATTTAGTAATTTAAAAAACTTTTGATGCAAAAAATTATCTATATATAAAATATAGATATGTGTGTGTGTGTATGTGCAAGGTAAAAAATATGTAAATCAGAATTATAGTTTAAATTAGCAATAACCTGTTAACTGAGGATATTTGCAAATTAAAATTTTGATTTACATACGAGGGCCATCCAGGAAGTAGATTACGTTTCCGTCTGTGTCCGCTAGGGGCGGGGCTAGCGCGGCCATCTTGGGGTCAGAGCGTTGCGCAGCTCAGTCTGCATCTAGCCGTGCTAGTGAGAGGTTCGTGCTGTGCTCCGTTCAGATACTGTGACGGTTTGAAATGTCTGCGTTAATTGAAAATCCCGCGAGCTGCGAGGTGCGCTCAGTAATAAGGTTTCTGACTGCAAAAAACTGTAAACCGATAGAAATCTATCGGCAGCTTCGTGAAGTGTATGGGGACAACATTATCACTGAAGGTGGAGTGCGTCAGTGGGTCATAAGATTTCAAAATGGCCGAACCAATGTTCACGACGAAGATCGAAGTGGGAGACCCAGCATAGTGACCGCCGAACTTCTCGAAAAAGTCGATGCTAAAGTCCGTGAAAATCGAAATTTCACAATAACGGAACTTTCTTTGAGTTTTCCACAAATTTCGCGAAGTTTGTTGCACGAAATCATCAGCGAAAAGCTTGGTTACCACAAGTTTTGTGCAAGATGGATTCCAAAAATCTTGACAGAGGACCACAAAAATCAGCGAATGGCTGCAGCGTTGAACTTTTTGGACGCTTACCATAAGGATGGTGACTCTTTACTCGATCGCATCGTTACTGGTGACGAAACATGGGTGAAACATGTGAACTGTGAAACGAAATTGCAATCAATGCAGTGGGGGCACACAAGTTCTCCCCAAAAAACCCAAGAAATGCATGCAAACAATGTCGGCAAGGAAGATGATGGCGACTGTTTTTTGGGACAGAAAAGGTGTAATTTTGGTGGACTTCCTGGAAAGAGGCACTACGAGTACAATAAACTCTCAAAGGTATTGCCAAACTCTCCAAAAACTCAGAAGAGCAATTCAAAACAAGCGCAGAGGAATGTTGAGCTCTAAGATCTTGTTGATTCACGACAACGCCCGGCCCCACACGGCAAATGTCACTCGTAAAGTTCTTGAATCTTTTAAGTGGGAGTTGTTTCCTCATCCGCCGTACAGTCCCGACCTGGCACCGAGCGACTTCCACCTATTCCCAGCAATGAAGAAGTGGCTGGCTATGCAGCGTTT